TTAGTTAATTTATCTAACAAGCTATTTACCTACCTCACTTTCTCTCTCTACATTTCCTGGAGAAATCAGTTGATGCGGTTCCTGGGCAGTTGGAGAAGCTGGTAGCTAAATCTGGTACCCATATGGAATTGTAAATAAAACGGCATGCTAAACGCTTTCCTCTAATATCAATTTCTCGCAAAAAGTATAGTCATTAAATTATAATTATTTTAAAATGGATAGTTCTTTTTAAATCACCCTGTACGTGCGGTGTACTTTCAGAACATGGCCGATCATGCCTTTCTACAACTTTATAGCTTATAGTAAGTAATTTCTTTTGGCTACCTCATTTAGTCGCTGTTGTAAAGCCCATTTACATAAACTTGTCCACTCGATGATTCGCTGTTTTCATCTGATATTCTTGATTTTAATATGTCCTGTGAATATCAAATTCTCTTTCCTAATTATGTGACCTAAAGAATTCAGTTGGCTCTTTCTGATTCTAAGTGTACTTTTTGCTTCAATTTTGCTTAAAATTCCTTTTTGGTTAACATGTTCTATCCATGGTGTTCTCTGCATACTTCTGTAGAACCACCTTTCTGTTGCCTCAACCTATTCTTCATCTGCAAAGGATATTGTCCAGTATCCACCGACACATAGGAGGACCGATATTATATAACAGTTTATATTGATTCTTACGATATGTCTGTTTCTGAAGATTTTGCATATATTTGGGAAAATAACTTTCGCTATCCCACTTTCAGAAGTCATTTTCCGATCTCACTGCCAAAACTCTTACTATATATATATTGAAAGAAATAAAGTATATTAAAAATTAAAAGCAAAAATATTTCAAATCGTACTTAAATAAAATGTATTCTTACCTAAACAACCCCCCCACAAAAAAAGAAAAAAAATCTTTAAATATACGAAAGAAAAAAAATGCCGTAAGAGTTTTAGCCGTTAACAATATAATTTAAAAAAATCTAGACGACAGGCTTTTAACGGAAGTTAGATTTCATTGAAAAATACATCCCTTCCCACGACCCAAACGTAGAAATAACTGATACATTAAATATAGACATATTGAAAACCCAGTCATCCATGTCTAGATAAATAGATTTATCTGTAACCTTGGAAACATGAATTTTGTTTTAGCTGTGTATTTAAAACCCAGTAATTTTAAAAAGTTACTCCAAAATTCGCTTGAGGATGAAATGGAACTAATGTCTTTAATTTAATCACAAAATTAAATTCGGGGCTTTTTTTGAAACATGGTTAGAACTGTGTAGCGAAAAAACATATTTTAAATCAATTAATTTAATATATATATATATATATATATATATATATATATATATATATATATATATATATATAAGAAAGAGGTTATAGTGGTTCCAACGAGAGAAAAGTATGTATATTAAAAAGAAGAGAAGAGAGGTGCCGCAAACGTTTTTAGTTGTAATGTGTTTTTTTTTTAAAATATTATGCTTTATTTTCCATAATTTTACTACAAGGGTTTCTGGTCTCGCGACAGTCTTCAGGTAAAAGGCGGAGATTTCCACATATTATTAAAAATAATTAATTTTTTCCTTTATGTTTTTAAATGTTAAATATTCTCGATATGAGACATTCTCTGTTTTTTTGTGTTAGTAATCCGAAAGTCTTTCTTGAATTGGCAATGAAGAGTTCTGCGCGGAGGGTCATAAAACAATTAAGATTGGTCCAAGAGAAATGATGAATTACTTATCGGCATTTTATCTTTTAATGTTTTAATGACCCCTGTGTGTTCTTAGATCTGTCTCCATTTTCGTGTTTTTCTGTCAGCATGCATATGTATATATATATATAATTTTGAAAATGCTTGATTCAATTGTTATAATTTTGTAGTTCGAATCCTAGCTAACAACCATGCTACAATTGATGTTTAGTCTTTTTTATCTCGATGTCTTTCAATAACTTCTGTAGGAGGTCTTGCAATTTGCTTTCTGCGTCTGCTATCAACGCCATGTCATTTGTATACGTTTTTAAGGTTTTAATTCATTTAATATCGCCTCGATATAATTTAAAAAAAAAAAAAAGTCCTGTGAGTAAGCCCCTTTCTAATTTGTTGAATTCATTTTTCCATCCGTATGCCGACGGTTTGTTCCTAGTATAGATTCTGGATGCTTCTAATATCCTTCGCAAATAAATCATACTTACAGCGAATTTCGACTAGTTCTTTTTGTTGTACATTATCAAACGCTTTTGCATGATCTATAAAACATAGATATATATCCTTCTGCATTTGCATTGTTCAGTCTAAGCATAAATATCATATTCCTTGTTCTGATGGACTGTGACTGATAAATTTTTGGTTAATTCTGTTACACGATCTATTCATAAGAATGTTGATAAGTTTTGTTATGTGACTCATTTGGCTGATTTCGTTTGCGCCTGGATTCTTAGACAGCGGCATGAAAACATCTGCTAAAGGTTTCCGGAATTCTACCACTGTCGTAGATTTCATATATACTTTTCAGTAATTTTGTTAATGCCGTACTCGTCTGAGGCTGCCAGTATCTTCATGAAAATTCTGGTTTTCCGCCTTATCCCTGTTCTGTGCTGATTTCCATTCAGATTTTAATAATTATGATATTTACATATTTTTCTCTATTGCGGTTCTCATTCTTTCTATATATACTTAATATTATACCGAGAAATTCCTATTTTACCTTTCCTGTATCGGTTTCCAATTTCGTTGTTCAATGGCCTATATTATTTACCATATCATGGCATCGTTTACAGTCTCCTCTTCAGAAAGTCAAGAATGTCATGCCATTCATTCTTTTTTCTTACTATATTCTTTAACATATATTGGCGTTGTTTGAAGTCAGTGTTTATAACATCAATAATGTTGATTATGTTTATGATGATTATAAGCACTTCCTGTCCTACTAGTGAATGCTGGAAGCAAAGCAAATCGAGCGGCAGTTTGAATGAAATAGTTGTTAAGTTCATCATGTTTCTTCTTGTCTTTGTGTTGCTTCAAAATTTTCAAATTGCCAGTCTCATATAATTCATCTTTCCATACTAAGCCCAGTGAAACAGTTTTGCCTTTGTCGTTTACTAATATCGCTAACGCATCTCTTAATGCCTACAAATTTGAATTTCTCTACTTATTTATTTCAATGCATTATTTTTTAACGCTGTCCTCATACACCGGTTTGCAACTCAGGTCATTCTTATCCCAATTTGGGTGCTGCTTCGGCTTCCTCTAATTTCCTTAGACTTTTTACATATCACTGGAAGGTGGTTATTTCCACAAGCAGCAATTGGATATGTTTAGCAGTTTCAAATTACGTTGCACTTGGCTGGTAACCAGTAACCTTACTATAAAAACAAAGAAAACAACATACAGATACATACACACAAAGAACAAAATCAATCTAACATCAATAACTAGCACATATATTAATTTTAAATTAGTAAAAATATAACGAAAATGAGAAAATTCGCAGTCACTTGTTGATACATCCTGACGAGTCAGCAGGACGATTACAAAAGTTCTACGAAAACCAGAGTCGTGGTGCTGAATATAAAATCAATCATCTAAGTGACTAATTATATTTGTATTAATCAAAAATTTTAAAATACACATTTTTATCGCAAATCTCTGGAATAATGTTAAGATAGGTTTAGATAACTGTAAATGTACAATATTTTTTTTCCAGGTTGGCCTTGTAAAAACATGAAGAACAAATGTTCTATGTTTACACACATTTCTAGTTTGATTTTTCCAATTTGAGGTTTCCAGTTTGATTTTTCCAGTTTGATCTTTCCAATTTGATGTTTCCAGTTTGATTTTTCCAGTTTGATCTTTCTAATTTGATCTTTCCAGTTTGATTTTTCCAGTTTGATCTTTCCAATTTGATGTTTCCAGTTTGATTTTTCCAGTTTGATCTTTCTAATTTTATGTTTCCAGTTTGATTTTTCCAGTTTGATCTTTCTAATTTGATCTTTCCAGTTTGATTTTTCCAGTTTGATTTTTCCAGTTTGATCTTTCTAATTTGATCTTTCCAGTTTGATTTTTCCAGTTTGATTTTTCCAGTTTGATCTTTCCAATTTGATGTTTCCAGTTTGATTTTTCCAGTTTGATCTTTCTAATTTGATCTTTCCAGTTTGATTTTTCCAGTTTGATCTTTCAAATTTGATATTTCCAGTTTGATTTTTGCAGCTTGATCTTTCTAATTTGATCTTTCCAGTTTGATTTTTCCAGTTTGATCTTTCTAATTTTATGTTTCCAGTTTGATTTTTCCAGTTTGATCTTTCTAATTTGATCTTTCCAGTTTGATTTTTCCAGTTTGATCTTTCTAATTTGATCTTTCCAGTTTGATTTTTCCAGCTTGATCTTTCTAATTTGATCTTTCCAGTTTGATTTTTCCAGTTTGATCTTTCTAATTTTATGTTTCCAGTTTGATTTTTCCAGTTTGATCTTTCTAATTTGATCTTTCCAGTTTGATTTTTCCAGTTTGATCTTTCTAATTTGATCTTTCCAGTTTGATTTTTTCCAGTTTGATCTTTCCAATTTGATCTTTCCAGTTTGATTTTTCCAGTTTGATCTTTCTAATTTGATCTTTCCAGTTTGATTTTTCCAGTTTGATCTTTCTAATTTGATCTTTCCAGTTTGATTTTTCCAGTTTGATCTTTCCAATTTGATCTTTCCAGTTTGATTTTTCCAGTTTGATCTTTCCAATTTGATCTTTCCAGTTTGATTTTTCCAGTTTGATCTTTCTAATTTGATCTTTCCAGTTTGATTTTTCCAGTTTGATCTTTCTAATTTTATCTTTCCAATTTGATCTTTCCAGTTTGATTTTTCCAGTTTGATCTTTCTAATTTTATCTTTCCAATTTGATCTTTCCAGTTTGATTTTTCCAGTTTGATCTTTCTAATTTGTGGCACCTTGCATTATTAGAAATATTCATAGAAATATGATTTAATTTTTTTTTACTCGGTTAGTAAACAGGTTGTTGATTTTT